AGACGACACTGTGCTGGATAGCTTTAGTGTCAACTTGACACACCTGGGTTGAGGGAGCCTCAATTGGGGAACTGCCTCTATTGGACTCACCTGTGGCCCTGTCTGAGGGGCATCTTCTTGATGAGTGATGTGGGAGGGCCCAGGCCACTGTGGGTCCATGGCCTGTGCTCCAGCTCCTGCCTCCAGGTTCCTGCCCTGAGTTCCTACCTTGGGCTCTTGGATGAACTTTGACCTGGGATATGTGAGGTAAATACACCCTTTCCTCCCCAGGTTGGTAGTGGTCAGAGTGTTTTGTCACAGCAATGAAGAACAAACTAGGACAGACATACAATAACCAACTAAAATTGCCCGACTAAAAAGAGCTCAGGACCAGGTGAATATAGCACAAATGTCTACCAAACTTTCAAAGAAAAACTAATACTTCTCAAGTTATTCCATAAAAAAGAAAATGAAGGGATACTCCTAAATTCCTTCTATGAATCCAGTATTACTCTAATATAAAAAATCAGGCAAAGACCAAACAAAAAAAAATTCTAGGCCAATTTCTCTGAGGAACTTAGACACAAAAATTCTCAATAAAACACTCACAAACAGAATGCAAGAACACATCAAAAAGATTTTCCACCATGATCAAATTGGGTTCATCACAGAGATGCTGGAGTGTTTCAACATATTTAAATCAAAAAAATGTAATCAATCCACCACATAAACAGACTTAAGGACAGAAACAACATGATCATCTTATTAGATTCAGAAAAGGCCTTTGACAAAATCCAACATCATGGAGAACCTAGGCATTCAGGAGACATATCTCAACATAATAAAGGCAATATACCACAAACCCACAGCCAACATAATATTAAATGGAGAAAAACTGAAAGCATTCTCCTTAAAATCAAGTATAAGACAAGGATGTCGATTCTCTCCATTCCTGTTCAATCTAGTACTTGAAGTCTTCGCAGATCAATAGGACAAATGAAGGAGATAAAGGGGATACAAATTGGAAAGGAAGAAGTCAAAGCATCTTAATTTGCAGATAATATGGTTCTATACATAAAGGATCTTGAAGGCTCCACCAGAAAACTCATAGAGATGATAATACATTCAACAAAATAGCAAGATATCACATTAACACCCTCAAATCAGTACCTCTCCTACACACCACCAACAAATATACAGAGAAAGAAATCTGGGAAACAATCCCATTCACAGTAGCCTCAAAATCCATAAAATATCTTGGAATAAATCTAACAAAGGAAGTGAAGGACCTTTACAATGAAAACTTTAAGACACTGAAGAAGGAAATTGTAGATAGCAGAAGATGGAAAGACCTCCCATGCTCATGGATAGGTAGGATTAATGTTGTGAAAATGACCATCCTACCAAAAACAATCTACAAATTCAATGCAATGCCCATTAAAATTCCAATACATTTCTTCATAGAAATTGAAAAATAATCTCACATTTCATATGGAAATACAAAAAACCCAGCATAGCCAATGCAATCCTGAACAATAAAAAAATTGCTGGAGTCATTACCATCCCTGATCTCAAATTATGCTACAGAGGTATGATAATCAAAACAGCATGGTACTGGCATAAAAACAGATACATGGATCAATGGAATAAAATTGAGAACCCAGATTTAAATCTACACATTTGCTGCTACCTGATTTTTCACAAAGGAGCTGAAAATATACACTGGAGAAAAGAGAGCATGTTCAACAAATGGTGCTGGCCAAACTGGATAAGGGCTTGTAGAGGAATGAAAACTAGATCCTTATCTCTCACCATGCACAAAACTCAACTACATATAGATCAAAGACTTCAACATAAGACCTGACACCCTGAATCAGATAGAGTAGAAAGTAGGGAATGCATTGAACTTATAAGCACAGGAAAGAACTTTCTGAATAGGACACCTATAGTGCAACATTAGGTCCAACAATTGATAAATGGGACCACATGAAACGAAAAAGCTTTTGTACCTCAAAGGACACTGTCATTTGAGTGAGACAACATACAGAATAAGAAACAGTCTTTACCAACCATACCTCTGACAAAGGGTTAGTATCTACAACATACAAAGAACTCAAAAATCTAAACATCAAAGTGAGGCAAGGAGTTGAACATGGAGTTCTTTAAAGATGTAACACAAATGTCTGGGAAATATTTTTAAGAATGTTCAACATCTTTAGTCATCAGGGAAACGCAGATCAAAACCACTCTGAAATTTCTTCTTACCCCTTTCAAAATGGCAAAAAAAAAAAAATCCCAAACCAAAAACCAAAAACAAACAAACAATAACAACAAAAAAACCAAATGACAAATGCTGGTGAGGGTATGGAGAAAGGGGAACTCCTATCCATTGCTGGTGGCAGTGCAAACTGGTGTAGCCACTATGGAAATCAGTGTGGAGATCCTCAAAAAACTTTAAAATTAATCTATCATATGACCTAGCCATACAACTCTGACAAATTCCCAAAAGACTCTGCACCCTACTACAGAAATACTTGCTTATCCATGTTCACTGCTGCTCTTTTCATAATAGCCAGAAATGGGATACAACCTAAATGTCTATCAACTGATGAATGAACTGAATAATGAAGGTGTGGTATGTATATGCAATGAAATATTATTGAGCTCTTAAAAATAAAATTATCAAATTTGCAGGTAAATGGAAGGAATTGGAAACAATTATCCTGAATGAAGTAACTCAGACTCAGAAAGATTTAAGCTCCACTTACTAGGATAGAGCCCATACCTGACATCGATATGAGGCTCAGGAACCTGAACCTAGACAGCTCACAGGACATAAGGAAGAACCTAATACTAGTTTTCTATTAAACAGTTATTGTATTAAACTACCCTTAATGATTTATTGTTATACCATAGATTAATGTATCTCCCAACTTTCGCCAGGGAAGTTTCTTTAGGTAACCGATGGTAATTCATACAGGAACCCACAACTGGCCAATGTGCAGAGAATAAGAGGCTGCAAAACTCTTATCCCTGAATAGAGAACATTTGTATCAAACTTCTGCCTCCCGTGGGTCTGGGATCATTGTGGAAGAAGGTGCGGAAAGACTCCAAGGACCAGAGGTGGTGAATGACCATAAGCAAACAGAGTTTTCCAGATGGTTGGTCAGTTACTCTTATGAACTCAAAGCAATAGTGACAGCATGCACTATTTGAGCCAGGTAAGCTCAAACCAGAAAAAAATCTCAGCATAGACACGAGGACATGGGTAAGAAGCTCCAACCCCACCTAAGGAAATTGTGGCAATAGACAGGTGCTGGGAGGGGCAGAGGGCATCTATTTCAAGCATGGGACTCAGTAGGTTAACTAGGCTCCAGTGGATGGACCCACACTGAAGGACATTTGGGGACACAAATAGACTTTAATATATATAATATAGCACATTATATTGGGCAGGGGAAATAAGAGGAAATACAGATGGGGAAGGGAATCTAAGTATTATCAAAATATATGGTATGAAAATCACAAAAATTCAATAAAATCCCTCAAGCCTCTTATCTTCAACCAGACCGTGAAAAGATCTTTATTTTGTATCCAGCCTGTGTAATCACAGGGAATTTCTGATTTAAGGAGACCTATAGAGGCTTCTGGGAAACCCAGAGGTATCCCAGGGTCTGTGGGTGCTGACTCTGAAGGTGTTCTCCTTGCCTAACATGGATGGGGATGCAAGTCCAGGTGGTAATACCTCTGTGATCTGTGGGTCAGCTGGGGGCTGACCAGTTGGATTCCCATGGTTCATCACTGACACCAGGAGGTGGAGGAGGTCAGGTCTTAGGGGCAGCAGGAAGAAGGGAACTAGATGAGTGGAGCTGAGGCAGTGCTGTCTCTCATCTGTATGAGGTAGATGAGCCTGAGCCAGATTAACAGTGAGACAAGCTAGCTGCTAGCAGCATGGGCCTGATGGAGAAAGAGTCACAGGGAAGCCTGGCCATGAAGCTCATCTCTAGGAGATTAAGGAGAATGGCTCATGGCACAGGTGACTTGAATGAACCATATCCTCCAACTCAGGCATTAGGGGTGCCATCCTTGCCAAGACGATGACCAACTCTGCCTTGCCAGATGCCTGCAAGGAAGTCCTCCTCTTCCCCATTTCACATCTTCCTCTGCCTATCTCCACCCACCCTTCCTGTGTACTTTAATTGGCTTAAAGGCTGCCGTTTCTCCTGCACTCTCTTCCCTTGTCATATCTTTCACAGTGGAGGACATGGAGGAGGGAGCACGGGCATCTGCATTTCGATAGCTTGGAGCCCTGTTGGTAAGGAGTTGGCATAACATGACTGAGCTCCATGAGGCAGGGCAATCAAAAACACAAGTCTGGCATCCAAAGGTCCAAATTCAAGTACTGACTTTTCCTGGTACCTGCTGTGACACTTGGTGAATTCAGAAGCCTAGAGCATCAGATTCCCCATCTGAAACATCCCTATTTCCTGGGGGACAGTGAAGGCTGCACGAGATGACATTCTATAGAAGGGCCCCAAGAACTGCTGTGCATGTAGAAAGCCAGGCCTTTACTCACGTTTGTGGCCCATCACTCTTAATTTTTAAAATAAAAAAAGTTTTAATTCTGGTGTGGGGCCAGAATTACAGTACAGTTCTGAGACTGAAGAGTAACAACAGTGTAATGGAAGCCACCGCAATGAACCGAGCACTTCTCTTTCCCGGTTGCTATGCTCAGAGCTTTGCCTATGCTAAACAATTTGATTCTTAGGAAAGAAAAATTCTATGATCTATGTATTATAATCTTTATTTTTCAGATATGGCAACCAGAGAACAGACACATGAGTAAATCAACCCCAGCTCACACAGCTTAGATTTGGGAGAACGCCAACTCGTGTCCAAGTGTATCAAACTCCAAAGTCTCTAACCTCAGGATTATTGGTTTGGTTTTTTCAATAAAACTTTTTTTTTTCTGGCTAGCAGAGGAGCTATTTACTGGCAGTTCATGGGTCTTGGATACTTACATGTATCCCTTAAACTTGTTGAGGTGGTTGTTGGGTTTCTCACACACGATGGTACTGTAGAAGTGTTCTGGTTGGAACTGCGACCCCTGTGGGAGAGAGACGACCCTGTGAGGCAGTTGTATCAAAGTGATCTAGTGTTAATAGGATCACTGGGACAATTAATCAGTGCTAGAAGCAAATAAGACCACCCCTCCTTTGCTGCACTGTGATGGTTGCAATGTTTCAGGTTAAAACAGTTAAATCCTCATTAAAGGATAAAAATCAATATGAAGGAAAAGATGGATACAGGTTAAAGAAAGGAGGCTCCAATAATCACGTCATGTTCAGAGGTTGGCACTCCACAGCTCTCCTCACATCAGCTGGTTCTTACCACCCTCTCTTCTGCAAAGTACCCCGAGTCTTCGATGGTGAGAGTTTCAAAACCTCATCTACAACTGAGCACACACAGTTACTTGACACTTTGACTAGTTATGAGTCTCTGCAATTAACCAGTATCCACTGTAAAAAGAAGCTTTTCTAAGCAAAGTTGAGAGCACCACAAATCCATGGGTCTAAACATAAGTATTTAGAATGCAGTTTGACTTTAGAGGATGGCGTGATAAGGAGATAGGAATTGGCTAGGCAGTTATGGTAAAAAGACCCCAAAGAAAAGTAGCCAGTTTCTTGGCTAAAACTCACAATGTCCTTGGGTCTCTTAGCAACATACTCTGTTCCAAAGGCCAAAAATTTTGAAAATACTTGGGAACTTTTATCTAATCCTTAAAAGATTTTAGGGTTACCTCTTCAGAGGGGGGAATGTTAGAGAAGCCAAAAGCCCCATTAAAAAATGTAAATCAAAGAAGACGAAAAAGTAAAAAACAAAACAAAACAACACAACCCAAATATTTTTCCAAGCCAAGTATGGTGGCTCACAACCTTAATCTAAGCACTCGGGAGGCAGAGGCAGGCAGGTCTCTGTGAGTTCAAGGCCAGCCTGGTCTACATAGTGAGTTTCAGGCCAGCTGGGGCTACAGGGAGATCCTGTCTCAAAAAAGACCAAATAAATTAGAAAAAAAAGAACACAAATATTTTTCCAAAGTAGTTGTATACATATTCCCACTAGTAATGTATGAGAATTCCAGTTGCTTCGCATCCTTGTGCCTTTATTTCTGTCTCATGTCTTTTCATCCATTCTAGTGGATTTTACTCATTGCTGCCTTTTAGAAGGCATAATAAAATCACTAGGTTAATGAGCAGAAAAAAAAAAAGCAGTTTGACTGAATGACCATTTAGCAAAACAACAATAGCAGGTTCCCAGACATGGACTTATGACCCAGTTTACAGTGCCAGGCCTGAAATTCCTCCTATGGAGCAGGTCATGTACATATGGGAGCACTAACTGGACTCAGAGGATTATTAATAACAACAGAAAAATAGGACATGAAGTTGGGAGGGAGATGGGGTAGAGGGCACTAGGGGGCATTGGAGGGAGGTAATGGTGGATGAATATGAACAATAAACATTGTGTTAAGTATGAAACTTTCAAAGAATGAAAATCCTATAAGAAAGGAAGGAGGCTGAACTGACTATGTTTCTTTGGCAGACCTGGGTTTGTGTGTAGTTCAGGGCTGCCTAGTGATGGACATTCTATCTGACTGCATTGTCCAGTTTGGAAGCCACCAGTTATGTGTGGCCATTGAGCATGTAAAGTGTGGTAGTTTGACCCAGGAATTGGTTTTCAAATTTAATTTAAACTTAAATAGCTAAATGTGGCTAGTGACTACTGTATTGGATAGCATAGAAATTTGTAAGGGAGAAGGAAAGTTTTTTCATGGTAGCACATGGCTGGAATCCCAGTACTCAGGAGGCTGAGGCAGGAGAGTCACAAGTTCAAGGCCAACTTGGGCTGGATAGCAAGACCCCACCTAATAACAATAGCAAAAAGAAGGACTGATCAACATACTAACTGGAGGTAGCCACAGCTAATACGCTTGTGTATATGATGTATTTTTAGCATTAAAGAATATCCACACACATATTTATGTATGCTCGTATACATTTATACATTTCAAAAATTAGAGTTAGTGTGTTTGTGTGTGTGCAGGCCAAAGGTGACCTCTCGTGTTTTTTTCAGTCCTCTGTATCTTATTCATTTGTTTATTTATTTATTTTTGGTCTTTTTTTTTTTTTTGAGAAAGGGTCTCCCTGTAGCCCCAGCTGGCCTGGAACTTGTTATGCAGACCAGGCTGGCTTCAAATTCACAGAAATCTGCCTGCCTCTGCCTCTGCCTCTGCCTCCTGAGTGCTGGGATTAAAGGCGCTCACCACCACGCCCAGCATGTTTGTTTATTTTTGAGACAGTTTCTCACTGAAGCACTGATTCCACTAGACCAGATGGTCAGCAAGACCTCAGGGTCCTCCTGTTTCTGCCTCCCTCACACTGGAGTTACAGGTGTATACTTCTGTGCCCCGCTTTTTATATGGGTGCTGGGATCCGAAGTCAAGTTCTCATGCTTATGGGGCAAGCACTTTACTTACTGAACCATCTCCCCAGCCTCATGTGAACCTTTTTTTTTTTTTTTCTTTTTTTTTGAGACAGGGTCTCCCTGTAGCTCCAGCTGTCCTGGAACTCACTATGTGTAGACCAGGCTGGCCTAGAACTCACAAAGATCCGCCTGCCTCTGCCTCCCAAGTGCTGGGATTAAAGGCGTGGGCCACCACGCCTGACATGAACATTTTTGAATGTAATTTTTTTTTATAGTTTTACAAACACCTAGAAAAACCTATTGTGAGGGTGTATCCTATTTCCTTTCACCATTTCTTGATTGAATATTTATATAATTTAAATTTGCTACTTAAAATCCTATGAAAGTTGCTGCTAGTAAAACAGGATATGGCATTTACTTCACTTTTATTTCTGCCTGACCTGATTAAAACTTTATGCATAGTATTTATTTTCAAGAGTACAATTATTGTGAAGGTAACACAGGCTGCCGAAGCTTATACCAGAGCTGGGATTTGAATTCAAGTCTAGTTTCAGAATCTGGTTTTGGCTTTCATGACACATGGGAGAACTAACTTGTTAGTAAGTATTGTAAGCATTTTCTTAACTCTACTTTTATGGAGTTCTTTTAGTTATAATACAGCAGGAGGAAAACACGGTTGGAGATGTGGGGATATTGCTTTCTACCTGTACTCATTGAATAGTCCTATGGTCAACTCTTAAAAATATTTTTACAAATTTATTTTTATTTTTATTTTATGTTTATGAGTGTTTTGGCTGCATGAATGTAAGTGCACCTGTGCATGAAATGTCCACAGAGGACAGAAAAGGGCATTGGATTCCCTAGAACTGGAGTTATGGATAGTTGATATCTGCCGTGTGGGTGCTGGGACCCAAACCCAGGTTCTCTGCAAGAGCAACCAGTGCTCTTGACCACTGAGCCACCCCTTCAGCCCTTATGTTTAATTCTTGAGCCTCAGCTTCTTCATCTGTAGAATGGAGCTAAAACCACTGACCCTGCCCATCTCATTTGTGCCTCAAAGATATAAAATCCACATGGAAGAGTTCTGCAACATAATACGCTATGCAAATAGTAGGCAACGACGCTAAAAAGGTGGGATTGGGAATAACTTCCTGGGTAGAACTTTGAGCATATGAGTGAGTAAATTTGTCACCGAGAGCTGCAAGGTACAGCTGTTCCAAGGGGCAGTTTGAGTCAACGAAATGATAGCATTTTCTGTCTTTGTGTAAATATACTTGTCCACTGCACCTGTGGGGGTGCCAACATAAAGAAACTCTCTACTCACTTGAAATAAATTACCCATCCAGGAGTTTCTAAAAATATGGCCTTTGTCCCTCTGGGTATTGATTCTTTCAGGGACAAATACTTGGTGAGTGGTGAGATGATGACAAATCACACTGTAATTTGTCAGCTGCTTTCATGCCCTTGATTAAATCGAGTGCTTTGCTCTTGATCCATACCACTCAGATCATTGCTGGGTTTTGGAGAGGCGTGGTGGGAGGGTCTGAAAACTAATAATTCTATGTTGACTCCATGTCCCTGTTGCCTACTCAATCATACCCGATGGATCTGCAGTCATGATCATGGGAAGTCTGACTCTCTTGTCTCTCCTCTCACTCCCAGAAAGCCCCCTTGGCGAGTCTTGGTTCCTTTGTCTATAAAATGGACATATGATAAGCACTGAATAAATGTTGTGGAAATCATAATAAAAGGAGAATTAAGAGGAGTAAGGTAAGTTCCTTGCTATTCTTTCCTTCCAGCACTGTCCATGGGTCCTCTGTCTTCATCTCCTTCTGGAGAGATGACCTTGCTTTTTCTAGTTACCTATCTCCTTGGTTCCTTCCTTCACTCTCCAGAATGGACTGCAGAGGACACACGAGCACTGCTTTTTCAACTATTTACTATTATTATTTAATTATATATATGTATGTATATCTGTGTATGGGTATATGCACATGAGTTCAGGTGTGTGTAGAGTCCAGAAGAGGGCATCAGTTCCCCTGGAGGTGGAGTTACAGGCAGTTTTGAGCTACCTGATATGGGTACTGGGAACCAAACTTGGGCACTTTGCAAGAACAGAACAGTACATGTTATTCACCACTAAGCCATCTCTGGAGCCCTGAGTATTGCCTTCTCTAAACATGATCTTGCAGGCCTGCTTGCCTATAAGAACTTTGTTTAGCTCCTCCCTGCTGTGATTGACCAAGTGTGGCTGTAATCACCAGGTTATCCAACATCAACCTGGCTTAGTTGCTTTGATTCTCTTTTGAGCTGGGATGGGGTTCATCTTACCATCCATGGTGATGGGGTGAAGGAATAAAGCTCATGGATGAAGCTCATCTAACCAACTCATTTGTTTGGAATTGCTTTTTTTTTTTTTTTACCTAAGGTGCTACCCTTTGGTAAGAGCCCCACTGAGCACAATCAAGGCCCAGGGAAAGATAAGCCTATTCCAGGCATCAGTGCACGTCTCTGTAGGGTCTTAGGGGCAGACAAGCCTATCTTGTATATGTGCTCTGTGCCAGGCACCTGCTAAGTTCCCACAGTAACTTTAAGAGGTTTGGACATGCATGTAAATGAGAA